CGAAGATGGTTGAGGCAGAGGCGCAGAAGGAATCAGAGGCAGCGGCGCAGCAGAAGGAGGAGGGTGCGGCGCCGAAGATGGTTGAGGTAGAGGCGCAGAAGGAATCAGAGGCAGCGGCGCAGCAGAAGGAGGAGGGTGCGGCGCCGAAGATGGTTGAGGCAGAGGCGCACAAGGAATCAGAGGCAGCGGCGCAGCAGAAGGAGGAGGGTGCGGCGCCGAAGATGGTTGAGGCAGAGGCGCACAAGGAATCAGAGGCAGCGGCGAGGCAGAAGGATAAGGCAGCGGCGCTGCATATGGAGGAGGCAGACGCACATAAGGAAGGAGAGGCTCGGAATAAGGCAGAAGCAGCGGCGCGGCAGAAGGCGGAGGCAGAGGAGCAGAAACAGGCTGCGGAAGAGGCACTACAACTGGCTCGGGCAGAAGCGCGGAAGAAGGCTGTTGTAGAGGCGCGGCAGAAGGTGGAGGGTGAGGCGCAGAAGATGGCAGAGGCCGAGGAGCAGAAGCAGGCTGAGGTTGACGGACGTAGGAAGCCAGATGGAGAGGAGGGTTTAGATGGGAATAAAATGATACAGACAGAGGGACGGGAGACGGCGGGTGCTGAGGGGCACATCATCGCAGAGGAAGAGGGGCAGCATGACAAGGAGGCAGCGTCGCAGGTATTCGCATACCGAGAGACGCAGAGCATGGCAGAGACAGAGCGTCAAAATACTATGGAGGAGGTTCGTGTGGTCCCGGAGGCTGGAGTGGGGCACTACGAGGGAGATGCGCTGGAAACAGAAGAGGAGCAGAATGAGGAGGATACTGTACATCCGGCAGTCCGGATATTTTTGGGAGGAAGTCCGACGCGGGGACCAGGAACCGGGGTAGAGGGGCCATGGAGGGTGGCAGACGATGGGGCGCCTAGGGATACAGTGGATCTCAACAGGCAGAGGCGGCCTACCCTTCACCAGAGAGCAGTGGAGAGGAATCTCGGCCAAGGCGGGGTGGCAGAAGCGTTTTGGCAGGTAGAGTGGGTCGAGGCAGAGACGGCAATACGGCGGATGCTGCATCGGACGAGTACAGTCCTGGTCGAACAAGGTGACAGGTTCGTCGAGGCCAAAAGCTGGGACATAAGCCCGGCAGAGGTAACGCGTCGTCTGACGCTCTTAGCCCGAATGGTGACGCAGACGTTCTGCAACTTGGCGGCCCGCAACAGCAGCATCAGTCGCGACGTGGCCGATCTGACCGTCCATTACTGCCGCGACGCCCTGGCCAACCTGGAAGAAGTCCGCCATGGAAACGAGGAACGGCGGCGCCAAGCTGAAACGGCGGCCAGGTTTCGCGAGCAGGTGGACACGAGACTCTCCAACTTGCAGGAGAGTATCATAAGGGTGAGTGATCAGGTTCGCCAGTCGGGAGGGGGGATGGCGGAGGGCACGTTAAAGGGGGTGGAAGAGAGGTTGAGAGAGGTTCTGAGAGAAGACTCTGAGCAGCGGAACAGGGATGCAGGACGAGGAGCGGAGGCAGAAGGCCACGAGGAAGGAAGCAGACGCCGCAGAGAGACGGAAGAAGGAACAACAGCAGGAGGAAGAGCGTCGGCAGAAGGAGATGAGAGAGGGAATGAAGGAGATGAAGGAGGCGATGATGAAGGAGATGAAGGCAGAAATGAAGGAGATGAAGGATGGGATGGTAAACCAGATTGTGGGGAGGTTGAGCGCGGTTTTGCGAGAAGAATCCGAGTGGCAGAAGAAGGCGAGGCAAGAGGACGCGGAGCGGCGACAACAGCAGGACGCGAAGAGGAAACAAGTGGCGGACGACGAGGAGAGACAGAAGAAGAAACAACTGGACGAGCAATGGCGGAAGGAGGAGGAGGAGAAGAGGAAGGATGTAGAGGCCACAGAGTGGCGGAGGAAGAAGAAACATCAGGAGGAAGAGCGACGGCAGAAGGAGGTGGAGGCAGGAATGAAGGAAGTGATGGAGGCTGTGAAGGAGATGAAGACGGGGATGAAGGGGTGGAAGGAGGGGATGCTAAGTGAGGTGGAAAAGCGGCTGTCAGTAGTTCTGAGATTGGACGCAGAGCGGCGGCAAAAGGAGGAGCAGGGTAGGAAGGCAACGGAGGGAGATCGGCGACAGAAGGAGGATGCGCAGAGGAAGGAGGCTGAGGAGGACGATCGGGAGGAAAGGGAGAAACAACAGGAGAAGGAGCACCAGCAAAATGAGGAGGCGCAGAGGAAGGAGGCAGAGGAAGCAGAGCGGGTGGAGAGGGAGAAACAGCAGGAGATGGCGTGCCTGCAGAAGGAGGAGGCGCAGCGGAAAGATGCAGAGGAGGCCGAGAGGCAGGAGAGGGAAAAACAGCAGGAGATGGCGCGACTGCAGAAGGAGGAGAGGCAGAGGAAGGAGGCAGAGGAGGTAGAGCGGCGTCAGAGGGCGAAACAGCAGGAATTGGACCGCCTGCAGAAGGAGGAGGCGCAGAAAAAGGAGGCAGAGGAGGCCGAGCGGCGGCAGAGGGCGAAACAGCAGGAGATGGAGCGCCTGCAGAAGGCGGAGCAGTGCCGAGCAGAGAAGAGGGCCAGACTTGCATCCTACGCGGAACAGCAGCGGCAACTGGAGGCAAAGGCAAAGGCGATGGCTGAAGAGACGGAACGATTGGCAAGGGAGATGGAAGAGGAGGATTTGACCATGCAGGGGGAGGGGACCTGGAAGGGAGTCAAGGAGGAAATAGCTGAGGGCCTGGGGAGTTTGCTGTTGATTGAGAGCGGGGAGGCGAATGTAGCAGAGGGCGTGGCTATTGTTCCCGGACAGAACGTAGAGGTGTCCAGGAGGCGGCCTAGACAGGAGGACAGGGAGCCGGAGGGTCATGCGGCTAAGAGACGGCGTGCAGCTGGTATACAGGAGTTGATACCGATAATCCCAGGGGAAAAGAAAGGGATGAAGATCGACAAGTGTGACAACAGGAAAAACGCCGTAGTGGACGACAAGGGTAAGACTTTGGGTGTCTGCCTGCCGTTCAGGGGAAGCGGGTTCTCTCAACGGGGCGAGGGAGCTTTGCAGAAGTGGACGTCTGAGCAGACCGTCGGCGGCCGGAAGCGGAACCTCGGCTCTCACAAAACGGTGTGGGAGAGGGCATACACGGTCGCAGTCTGCTGGAAGTTCTACTTCCCGGATATTGACATGCAGGCATACGGCATGAATCCAAACCGTATTAACAAGTGGCGGGAAGACCTCGACTTCACAACGTGGCTTCCAACAGGGGGTGTGGAGCGTCATCAATGAACTCCACCTGGACAAACCGGACGGGTGAGTGTTTATGTGATGGACAGTTGCAACTTCTAAACACCCGCGAAGTTCGATGGTTCTGATCTTGCGACACTGGTGTCTTGTGCAGATTCTCACTCGTTCAAACCAACACGGCTCTTTGGCAGCAGCAGGGGGATGGCTTTCAGGTAGCTGCCTGCGCTGGTGTCAGAATAACTGCGTGGCAGAAGATGGTGGGAGGCGTGGAGGGTGAAAACGGCTATTCGACGGAAGAACACGCTGTCGGACTTGCCGCCACGTTGTCTGTAATGTGGGCCGCATCCACGAATGTGGACCAGACCCAGTGGGAGACGGGCGCAACAACAGCTGCACGTGGAACTTCTACGGCCATAGCATCTTCTGCTGCCAGATCGTCCACTGCTGCCACCGCCTCGTCGGCTGCCTCGTCATCTTCTGCGGCCGATGTGTCCTCTGCCGTCCTCGATGCCCTTGCGACGCTTGCAGCCTCGGTTGCTTGCGTTGCGGTTGAGGCGATGAGGTCGGTCAAGGATCAGGAGCATGACAAGGAAGCGTGGATTCTGCCCCTGTCGGATGCGCTGCTGAAAGCGCTTCCGGCAGAGTCGCGAGCGGCCGGGGATACGAAGCGGATGACGAGGGTGGTGACCTCTTGGTGCCTATGCAGCATGGCATCAAGAGGCCTTCGCCAGCACCAGGGCGTCTGCCTCGGAGTCCTGCAGACGAAGTTGGGCGGCCGGGATACCACAACAGGGGCGGATAAGGAGAAGAAAACCAAGAAATCGTCCGCGAAAAAGAACGCGACGAAGGATGCGTCGACGGAGGAGAACACCGGCACTGGCGGCCAGGAGTGATAGAGGCAGACGGGTTCTTTGGAGGTCTTGTTAGTACCGCAGTAGAAATAGATTTTCCTTTCCGTTTTTTTTTTACCGTGTATAAATATAGGTGTTGTTGTATACAATACAATGAGAGATGTATTTTTGCTATGCAAACCTTCACTACAGTCGCGAAATTTGTAGGGCGCGTATGGAGTTAGCAATGCAGCCGATAGAACTCGCCATCAAAGGGAGGGCCAGCCGAATAAAATAATTGACGGCAGGACGGCCTTCTACGACACTTAATCTACGTTTAATACTCGGCTTCTACGAGGAGGTAGAAGTATGGGGCTAAACAATCGCATAACATCTTGTCTTAGGGAGCAACTTGTTAAGAATCGTATACGGTATTCCTATGCACAGACCTTTCTGCTATGGAGATTGAATTCCTCGACGCCAAATTCTGGAGGCAAATCGGAAACGACACTATACCGCAGAAAAACCCACATATGGATAATATCTACCGTCATGGATAGGATCTTCGTTGCTACTAGTAGAATATGACACTCCTTTGCCCAGAAACATATGCTGGGACTGAATACATCCACGCAAAAGTCTACCGAGTGGCCTAAGAACACACATCTACAATCGTGAGAGTGAATTCATCGACGCCGCTCTATAGAATAACATCGTATACGACATGAGTCCGCAGAATTTCGCCGGGTGTATACCATCGATGTGTGCTTCAATGCATAGACCAGAAAAACATTCTACGAAAAACAGCGCGTCCAGGGAAGAAGGTGGCATACAAGCCCCAAATCGGGCTTCTACAGAGACAGACAAGTGCCTGTAGTGCATATTCAGTACAACCGGAATAAAGTACCCAAATAACTAAACCGCCCCACCCTTAAGGTACATGCCCCCTCATTTCTGCTCCTAGCGTTTCGACGCTTCGCCCTTCGCCTTTTCCCGTTCCGCCTTCTTCGCCGCAGCGGTTCGTTGTTTCTCCTCTTCCGCCTTCTCCTGCGCCATGTGTTCCTTGTGGATCTCCTCCCACTCATCATCCCCAAACAGCGAAGTTGCCCACTCCTGGTCGCGAAGGCCCTTCTTGACTAACAGCCAGCCCACTCTGCGTTGCGCCAAGTCGTTGACGGTCCTCTTTTCCGTCGACGAACCGGTCTTCTGTTTCTTGATGGGCGGAGTCTCATGCAGCACCGCCAGGCCGTTGGTGAATTCCGTGAAGTTGCACACGAGTAAAAACCTCGTCCAGCAGCTTAATGGCCGTTGCGGTTGCCGCCTCGGAGCTGTCTTTTCTTAGCATCTCCACGGAAACCATGACACGATGCACGCGACGCATCTTTCGCTCGCATGCACCCACAGCCATCTCGGGCGTACCTTTGTCAGCGAGCCGGGAATATGCGGTGATGAAGCTGGAATTCTTGTCCTTCTTCTTATACCGGTCGAACTCTGCAAAGACTTCGCGCAGTGACCTGCCGCCCATGATGAGGCTTGGCTGCACCCACACTTTCCAGGCAGCAGCAATAGTGGTGGCTTCGCTCCAAGACACAACGACCACGACGAAGAATTCTTCCACAGCAACTGGTGCTTTGGATGCGTCCGTTGCCTGGTTTGCTCCTGTTCCCGCGCTCTTCGACGATCCGTCGATCTCTGCAGAGGTGTTTGCCGCGTCATCCCTGGCCGCAACAGACCTCTTGTATGCTTCGAACTCTGCAATGACCCGAGCCTTGTCCTCTCGCTCAGCGGCGAGTTTCTCCCTCAGTTCAGCGTTCTCCATCGCCAACTGCATTTCACATCCTCTCAAAATCCCAAGCTCCTCCCTGAGCATATTGGCGGTGAGGTGCATCTTCTGCATCTTCTCTTCTGCGGTCGTGTGAAAGATAGCGTCCTGTAGAAACCAACACGGCAGAACTCAGCATGAACGAATAACTCCCTCTCTCTACCACTAATAGCAGGCACTTACTGCTTTGGCAGTGGTTTGGCCGGTTGCCCGAAGCTTCTCGCCCTGGAAGTGAGAGATAGCGACCAGGTACGCCCACTTTTGGAACAGCGGGTGGTTGCACAAGGGGCTCATCTGCACATATGGATGCCTCTCGCAATTGCACCGCGGGTTTCTCACGCCGTGCTGATGGCAGAACGCCCACATCATAGCCAGATCCTGTGCAACAACGAGGCGTCCGATGCTCGCGAGGGTCTCAAGGAACCTCGCCCCCGCATAGTGCCTCTTCAGCGGATCGGTCTGCGCAGCGTTCCATTCTTCGACCTGACGGGACGAGTATGCAGGAGAAATGCGACGGTTCATAATTGCGTATCAAAATTAAGCTACGAACGTGAAGACTGTACACTAGCACGTACCTTCTTCCAACCCTCTTCGACCCAGGGGAAAATGTGAAGCCTCAAGAGATCCAAGAGCTGCAACCACTCATCCTTCTCCTTATCCTTATGCCGCGGAAGCTTGGCGCGGGCTCTGCCGATGTAGTAGTCTCCACGATCCCCGCTGAATCCTGCCAGCAGCCAAACCGGCTTGAACGGAATGCCGAACACATAACACCTCCGCAACTCCCCCTGCGCCCATCCGCCCAGAGTGTCGATATCGTTGTCGGAGCAACCGTCGTCATGGAGTTGTTGCGCTCCGGATCTGCGGAATGCATGTGTCACCTTGCTCAGAATCCATCTCGCCTTCGTCATGGCCCACTTAATCCAGGTGTTATGCGTTTTGTAGTGCATCTCGTCTTGCTTCTGCTTTCCCTGGTTGCCCTTCTTCAAAGAAAAGAAGAGGTGCGCTTTAGTCCACAAGATCGGTTCAGAAAAGTCGAGAGGCTCGACGATACCGGGGCCGTAGCGCAGAGGAACGAGGTCGTAGATGAAATGAAGCCACAGGAACACATGGCCCATTCCGCAGAGCCGCCAGTCCCTATGCCTTGCAAGAAACTGATGACTCAGCTTGTTGTTGGGGTTGGTCTTCGACTTCCTGGAAACAACGACGAGTACGAAAACGTCCAGATACTCGTCGAGGTGTGATGTGCTCCGCGTCATGCGGACAAACAGGTTCCCAAGGCGAATCTTTCGAATGCTGCACCTTCTTCCGAGAAATTGGTGTCCGAGGTGCATCATAACCGGGACTTGCAGAGCCTTCCAGAGAGGAAGCGAGATTTGTGACGGAGGCGTCCGCCACCAGATCTCTAGGAGCTCTTTTCGCAGAACAGTAAGATGCAGCGTCCTATACTGGCTTCCCGTATAGCAATCACCAATTGATCCACGGGTTTGATCTCGACCATCCCTGCATAGAATAGCACAATAATTATGTAAACCATGTAGAACAACATTCACACAAACAGAAAGCACACGTATATGTTACTCACGCGACTTGCTCGTCGTTCAGATCCTTCAGCTTGACTTTGAAATAATCCCGAGCATCCTTGATCCAGTCCTTGGTCAGTGTGATGGAGAAGCCGTAGAGCCTCGCCTCGCATCTGGCAAGGCATCCCATTGCGTTCATCTTTGCCTTGATCATTGAAGCCGTGCACCCCTTTGCCTCCTTCCCCACATATTTCTCGACGTCTGGCCGCATTTTTCCACGCAAAAACTTTGCCTTCTCGTCAGTTTCGCAGAAGAGATACTCGATGTATCGGCCGAGCCTCCATTCCGTGACCCGCGGCCCGTGCAGATGAATCTGCCACTCGTCAGAGCTGCACGACCACCCATCATTTCCCAAGTTATTGCTCATATGAAACCCAACCTCGTCGTGCAGAGAGGGGGCAAGCCTATCTGCCACAGGGACATCTACCATAGTTGCCATGAAGATTATCACCCACCACTTGAAGTGTAGAAAGTGGAAACAATAGTGCCTTCTCGTGCCGGCCTCTATCAGTCGAAGCAGGATTGTTGAACGCCGGATCCTGCTCTCCTTTTCCGCAACGTCGGTCTGCCGCTGCGCATTTCCGGGGGCCGCAGCCTGCTCGACATGGCTCGCAGAATCGGGAGGTCGTCGTCGTCCCGGCGATGATTCTCCCTCCTCTTCTGCGTCAGAGTGATCTCCATCCTCCTCGTACCGTTCTTCGGGCGCACCGGGTCGTGGGCGCACTCCATCGCCTCCCGGCCCTTCACTCCCTTCTTCACTCCCTTGGACTTGAATCCGGACGGATGGTTCGTAGAGACCACCCTGGAACAAATCCTCCTCGGTCACCTCAAACTCGCTATCGTTCTCGCGATCCTGTGCGTAGTCTTGGTCAGTATTTTCATCGTCCTCCATGTCTTCTTCTCCATCCTCTGCGCCCTGGGCTGCCATGGGGCGAGAGTGGACCGAGCTGTTGGCCATTCACAGATTCCTAATTTATTAGCTAGCAACCGAGACTAGACGAAACAATCGGATGGTGTCAGCCGCGGTAGGTGGTAACGATTCGCAAGTGTGCAGATAACATAGGCAGAATGCTTAGTGGGCTAAGCGCAGAAGCCGTAAGAGAGTCTATGCTTCAGATGTATGCACATTGGTCTTCGAACACGGCCTACAACTTGCGTTTACATATATCTGCGCCTACAACTTGCGTATACAGGGTCGCCTGACTGTCCCGTACCGTATAGCTCTGTCACCCTTTGTTCTACCGCTTTAATTCTCTACAACGAAACAACGAAAATAAGTTCCTACCATTATACGGATATAATCATCTACGGAACCCTTATGCTTGTACATAACTTTCGTGGGTTCGACGATATTATGGATTGGGAGCGAATACTTCTACCGATAAAAAAAGCCTAACGTCGAAGATGTCCGGCTACAAGAGCGGGCGACCTACGACAATTGTTCCGGGCAAATACAAACAGTTCTACCGACAAAATATTCTACCACACAGATCTGCGCCTACATAAGCGACCTAACAAGTGCGACTGCAGTTATCCTAACCGGGCTGACCCAAAATAAAAAAAACCCACTCTATACGACCTACGTCACTACGTCGAGGACGCCAATGTTCTGCCAGTGGGCCAAGCAGGCTTAAAAGACTACGCTGGTGGACTAACAGGTGCTGGATGAAAAGATCTCAAAGAGCTTGCGGAGCATGAAATGCAAATGAAAAGGAGCAAATGAGCACGAAAACATCCATTCATACCCATCCACCACACACAGAAGCCCGTGTCCAGATCTGGTCATCCAACCCTGGGCTGGATGATTCTCCCGCCAAAAAAAAAAGTTCCCTACACGACGCTTATTGGCTCTTGCAGCCTTGGGACTCTGACAACAACTGTTGCCATGGCCACGTGTGCAGAACACCTACACTTGGTAAACAATGACTATAAAACACAATGAGCAAACGTAGGATGCTACACGTGTACTCATGTTATTCATAAAACACATAAGATCAATGGTATAAAGGAACACACCTGCTGCAGCTTTAAGGCTGCAGCCAAAAAAAAAAACGAGTTAAAGCATATAACGACGCAGAGAAGACCAGTTGGTCGCAACCGGCCATGCGACCGGCGGTCGTCACTTGTCGGCCAAAGAGTTACGATGGCGAAAAATGTCATTCGCGACAAACATCACTGGCACAAAGGGTCACGGGCAGGTTGGTTGGAACACATTTTTCACGGTCAGGTGGGCGCGGAATTGTGAGCGGCTGGCCTTGTCGTATGCGGCGGAGCCTTGCGCCCAAGCCCTTCGGAATCCGGAGCACACGGATCCAAGGCCTTGGATCATGGGGCAAACGCACTCGGAACTCCGCCACAACGTTATCAGAGTCCCAAACACCACCCACCAGGGAGCCACCTCTCCAACCAACCACCCACCTGCCTCAAACCCCACTATCAATTTTCACACACCTCCTCCCTGCCTGCTCGTCTCTCTCTCTCTCTCTCTCTCTCTCTCTCTCTCTCTCTCTCTCTCTCTCTCTCTCTCTCTCTCTCTCTCACAGATCCATTTCTCACCCCACCTGAATACTTTCCTCTACTCGTCGCTGCGTAGTGCTCTTTGCTCTTCGCGCACTTGTCCTCTTCGCGTAGTGCTCTTAGCGAGCTCTTCGCCAATTTCTCCTTTTCAGTGGCGAGATGCAATTGTGTCGGATTGAAGCTCCGTTGGAGGAAACAATTGAATCGCTTGAAGTGACCGATTCAGGTGAGCAGATCGCTGCCTGGCGAGCAGATTGCGGGCTGCCTTGCGTGCAGTCCCGCGCGCTGCCTTGCGTGAACCGCGCGGAATGCCTTGCGTGCAGCAGCGCGGATTGCCTTGCGTGCAGCCGCTCGCTGCCTTGCGTGCAGCCGCTCGCTGCCTTGCGTGCAGCAGCGCGCGCACTGTCTGACCTGCCGCGGTGAACGGCGCGCGCGCTGTCTGACCTGCCGCGGTGAACGGCGCACGCGCTGTCTGACCTGCCACGGTGAACGGCGCGCGCGCTGCCTGACCTGCCGCGGTGAACGGCGCGTGCCGTGTCTCCGCCCCGTTTCCCCATCTTACATCCATTTCCCCCTTCCCCCCTCATGTGTGCGGCAGCAGGGGCTGGGCGGAGGCAGCATGGGAGCGGGGGCGAGTGAGCCCGAGGAGCCGGCCGGCTGGACGGACGCACGGAGCAACGCACGCACTCTGCGCCGCCGCCGCCCGCCTCTCGCCCAATGGCGGCTCATAGGCGCATCGCCCCCCACGCGGTAAGAGGGGAGCAAGGGTGAATGTGTGAAGTGCGGGAAAAAAATCATAAAAAGAACCACGTAAATATTATAATTGAACCATGCTTGGCTGGTGAGGGCAGGGCAGGGATGAGCGGTCCCGAAAGCATGCTGTCGCCTCCCTGAGATTCCGCTTCTTCCCCCTCGTCCGCCCCACCGCGCTGAAATCCCTGGTGAGTTGGCATGATGGGTGCTGGTGGGTTGGGATAGTGAGTGCTGGTGGGTTGGAATGATGGGTGCTTGTGGGTTGAAATGATGGGTGCTGGTGGGTTGGAATGATGGGTGCTGGTGAGTTGGAATGATGGGTGCTGGTGGGTTGGAATGATGGGTGCTGGTGGGTTGGAATGATGGGTGCTGTTGAGTTGGAATGATGGGTGCTGGTGGGTTGGAATGATGGGTGCTGGTGGGTTGGAATGATGGGTGCTGGTGAGTTGGAATGATGGGTGCTGGTGGGTTGGAATGATGGGTGCTGGTGGGTTGGAATGATGGGTGCTGGTGGGTTGGAATGATGGGTGCTGGTGAGTTGGAATGATGGGTGCCGGTGGGTTGGAATGATGGGTGCCGGTGGGTTGGAATGATGGGTGCTGGTGGGTTGGAATGATGGGTGCTGGTGGGTTGGAATGGTGGGTGCTGGTGGGTTGGAATGATGGGTGCTGGTGGGTTGGAATGATGGGTGCTGGTGAGTTGAAATGATGGGTGCTGGTGAGTTGGAATGATGGGTGCCGGTGGGTTGGAATGATGGGTGCTGGTGGGTTGGAATGATGGGTGCTGGTGGGTTGGATGGAATGATGGGTGCTGGTGGGTTGGAATGATGGGTGCTGGTGGGTTGGAATGATGGGTGCTGGTGGGTTGGAATGATGGGTGCTGGTGGGTTGGAATGATGGGTGCTGGTGGGTTGGAATGATGGGTGCTGGTGAGTTGGAATGATGGGTGCTGGTGGGTTGGAATGATGGGCTTAGTTTAGGCAGCAGCAACTCTGTGCTGCTGGCAGTTTAAATTCGGGGAGGTGGAAGTGTTGCTGCTGCGTACAACCCCCCTCTTCACCCTCCCCTTAACGCTCGCCCGTTCCTCTCTCAGAGTCAAGGCAGCAACTAAGCGGTGGCAGCTCTGCTGGTGGCGGCGAAGCAATGGGGAGAGCCCATGAAGAGGTGCTGCTTCAGTGCACCTACCGTCCCACGGTAAGAAAGGAGCGACGAGAGTAATGGAGACAAGCTGGAAAGTTACCAATTATCAGTAAAGGATGAAAAGCAAGGAATAAAAGCAATGGGAACTAGTCTCCCCGTCCCCTCCCCTGAACCCATGAGTCCTGCCCTCTCCCCCCTCTTTCCTCTCAAACCCTCAATTTCTGATATCCTACTTCCCACCCCCCTGGAATTGAGATTTTGTTTCTGAACCTCTGATTTCCTGTTTTTCGCACTGGTCTTGATAATGAAGTTTTGTTTTTCACACATGTGAAACTGAAATTTTGTTTACCCACCCAGAACCGCTCAAAACTGAGCAGAACAAGAATCTCGAAGGGTGAAAACGAGAGACCAGGGGGGGATAAAGGGGCGGACTTGGGGGGGAAGAAACGAAGGTCCTGTGAAGCTTTTTGAGGATTTGAGGCATGCTGCTTTGAAATAATGAAGGCGCTTTGCTCATCTCACACACGCCACCTCGATCCTCTCCCTCGTTTTATTGTCCTAAGCCCCCCCTCCCCCTCACCTCCTCCCCTCTCCACCCCCCTGTGCCCTTCTCTCCCCCATCACCTCCAGCTGTGCCCCTCGGAGCACATCTCCCTGCCCTGGGGCGCGCTGCTCATCCGCTGCGCCATCAACGCCCTTAATGGGCAGCAATGGCAGAGGCGGCATGCTTTCCGTGCTCAAGCGCGCAGAGCAGTGGCAGCGCCCCATCATCGCCCACGAGCACGCCCACGCAGTGCAGGACCTAGAGGCTGTTGGTGCAACCCTACGGTTTGCACTCGGCTTGTTGTCCGTGTGCGTGAATGTGTGTGTGTATGGAATGGTATGAGGGCATGGGATAATATATATTTCATGCTTATAATTGTGTGTGAATGTTGAGTCATGATGTCGAGTGTGTGTGTCGAGTCAATAGCGAGTTATCGCTAGACGCGTGTTACGCGGTCGTTTGTGTCTCGCGCGCGGTTTCTATTTTGTCGTGCGCGGTTTCTATTTTGTCCTGTGTCGAACGTTCGGCGTGTCGCAGGTGTGTGCAGCAGACCCATCAAGAACTCAAGGATGAGTTTGTGATGAAGAGCCCGAGCCTTGGTGTCAAGCCTCAAGTGATTTCGAAGCTCGCCAAAAGGGTACACCTCAAGATATTGAAGATAGTTACATTACTTTGTGTAGTGTAACATTTCACTTGGTGTAGGCCCTAGTGAAGGGTAGTTTCGAGACCCTTCCTGGTTGGGGACAGTGTGGCACTGTTCCACATCACTGTACCTCGGCTCTTGGGGTTTGTAGGAGCTGGGAGTCATTCCCAACTCGTAACTCTTCCTATCTTGTGTTCTAAGACTATAGTGGCTGCCATAGTACCGTTCGTTCAAACCGACGCTGTGTCGTCAATTCTTTATGAAATCGTGCAATCTAAATTGCTTATTGTAGGCGACGTCAAGACGCTCCAGATCCAATTTGAATCAAGTCA